ACCAGATCTAAACAATGTAAGGTGAGTGCAAGATTATATCAGGATAATGTATGTTGAGCTATGATCCATTAATATTAGTGAAGTAAATATTTGTTCATGGTGTATAGTATCGTGCCAGGAAAGATCAAAGAGTGATCTAAGAGTGTACTTCTACAACATCTAAGCATGCATTCTAGGGCAAGGGAGCAAATCTCTAAGTCACACTTATAACCTTAAAATATGTTTGTTATATATATATATATATATATATATATATATATATATATATATATATATATATATATATCCTACTATTTTCAACTACTTTTATTATGAAATCCACTTATTTGATCTCTCACAACAATAAGTTGTTTTCTTTTTCTAAGTTGATCATTCAAAGTAACAAATTTGTATGAAAGTTATCACATAATAAAACAAGGATCTAAACAACACATCACTTAATATAATAGCAACATGATATTAACTTCTCATTGCTCAACAAACAAAAGGTTTAACTAATGATGAGCTGAGTGCAAACAACAAACATGGTTCTCAAAGGATACACTCTTAAACAAATAATGAAAAGAAGTGTAAACCTAAAAGTAAATTGAAGACTTCTTGAGATGGTTAATCAGTAAGAGATGACTCCAATCGCGCCAGGACTTAGCAGTTGGTATTGAGAATGGTAAGAAAATAAGCTTTTTTTTCTCTCCACCACCCTCACACTAATTTTCTTTTGTATTTCTTTTCAAGATGTTGAACTCGCTTTTCAATCTTCTTCAAGTTCTATTTGTAAGCCTCCACTAGGGTTTCTTGAGATGTCTTGGATCATAGGCCAAAAATGAGGAAATCAAATCAAGCCCATTACATCAATCAACACATTCACATCATTCATTCTGCTTAGCATGCAAGGAACCAAATATAGGAAACAATTATGGGGGGACAAGGTGTCTTGTGACAGGCTTCCACAATAGGGGTGCATGCGACGTTGTCTTTCCATTATAGAGCACTCAGAGTAATGGGTGTGCTCTTGTACTTTATTTTGTCATCTAGCACCTCATGTTCTTATCTGTTTTATTTAAAGGACTTTTCTTTAGTACACAACAAATATTCCTTTATCAATGTATCAATCCTTCCACGGTTTCCCTAAGAACCCAGCTGACTCCTCTATTTCCTTAGTTCATCTCTTTGCTTCAGCTTGCATACTCAAGTGTTGTCCATTGCAGTCTTGCCTCAGCTCAACAGAGTAAACCTTAAATCAAGCAGCAAACACATCAAAACAACTAAAAGCAGCACCTATTGTGCCAAGCAAACTAGTATAAAAACAACTAAAATGAACTAAAGCAACATCTAAAAAGAAATTTAACTAACAATAAATAAAGATTAAGGTATATAATAACTCACAAAATATGGGTTATCACACCACCAAACTTGAATCATTACCTTTCCTCGGGTGATGCCACAAATAATGACATAGAGCCTTCCTTTCCAAACAACAACCTTTTCCAACAACACTAACTCACAATCAACTCAGAAATCATCCCAAATGACTAGTTTCAAAAACTGACACAAATCAGCCCTAAAGCTTAATCACAAGTGTGTGTGTGCTCTGTGCATTATCGATGCTACATGTCATGCCAATACTCATCAATTAAGAAAAAGAAAAATCTTGTAGATGCTCAACCTTTTCACCTAACGGGATCTCACTTGTAATGAGTCCAACTTGTTACTAATGGTGAATACAACTATTGGTCCTCAAGTTTTGGACACATGAACTTATTAAAAAGACGTGTTCCTCCAATTTCTAGCATATGAACTTGTTCCTCCAATTTCGGGCACGTAAACTTATTATGAAGTAATATTCGCTTACTTTAATTACACATTTTGGTGTGTTTATTAGCATATGCAGTGTATCCAATGTATTAAGTCTTAAATAGAAAACTCAACTTTGAGCAATTAGGTGTTGATTCACCCGAGGCTCCCATCATTTTTTTAAGTAATTAGGTGTTAAGACTTATTAGGTGTTAACTTACTTCTATTAATAAAACATGTTGAGACTCAAAACAAGTACACCTATTATGCTTCGCTCCATTCCTTTTCTTGAAATAATACTCTAATATGCAGTGTGTCCAATGCATTAAGTCTTAATACTCTACTAGTACTCAACATATTTTTGAGTGTCCAATGAGAAGACTCATCTTTATTAAATAATATTAAAGAAATATGAAAAAAATTATTAATATTTTGTGTAATAAAATTAAAGTCATGTAAAAAATGTACTTGTTTGTTGTCGAGTTCCCTAAGTGAGTGTCTTGGTTAGTCCATGCAATAACAAATTTCTCCTTATTGGGTGACAACCATGTTTGGTTAACATAATCAACAAAGAAAGGGATATCAACAAATACTAGTTCAAATGTTGCAAGTGTAGCTCACACTATAACACTGTATTTGAATACACGATCTTATTACATAGTTCTATCACATGCCTTTTTCTATTAATCTCGACAAACTCCTTGGACTTTTCACCAAAAAAAATTTGCAACATGGAGAACACATAAAAGGTGGATTGAGAAAGCAACTTCAATGGAATTCATAAGGGCAAGTTCCCGATCAATCACGATGACCTTGAAAAATAACTTCTCAGATGCGAACAACTTCTTCAGCTTCTCCAGTACCCATGTGAAACTTGACTCCCTTTCATGTTCAAAGTAAGTAAAATTAATAGAGTTTGTCAACTCGATTGACGTAACACCAATAATATCAAGTAGCTGTAGCATATAATTGATGGTTTTTTACATGCAGTCAAAGATCAAAACTAGATGAAACATATTTAAAAGCTTCACCAAATCAGGATGTGTCAAGAATAAATCACCCACAACATCTGAGTCATCCTTGTTTTTGGTCCAACACAAATACTTCTCATTATGAATTAAGCTCAACAAATGTTGCATTTTCGTGTATAGACTTCTAATAGTAAACTAGTAATTTTGTCTTGCTATATACAATTGTATGAAACATGTCAGATTCTCAACAATCATATCTTTCAATACACCCATTATGTACCTCAACATCATGTTGTACTTTGTCATGTCGTTCACAAAATGTCTTTCTTCGGATCTTAGACGATCTAGTATGACATGATCATTTAAGTCCTCAGCTATACGATGGCTATGTATACAACACCTAACCTTTATGTTCCAACCACAACCACTTGGCACATGTCTTAACTGAAAGGGGCATAAAAATCTTTTTCTACAAGTAACTTCTGACTTTTCTTTGTTATTGTAATCTCCTCCCCTTTCACAACCAAGAATCCGTTTTTCGCTCCTGCCACTTTTCTCATTTTCTATATCATAATGAATCATAACCATAATAATATCCTGTTGTCTCCCAATATATTGTGCCTATGATAACACTTCTGTCAGTGAGAGAAATATTTATCAATTGTAATATAATATAAATTACTCACAGATTCTATAATATGATTAAAAATTTTAAAAGTTCAGATAAAACATGCAAGTAAAACATATCAAGTTAGTGATGAAAAATTATGTAAAATATTTTAAAGCTCTATCCATCACAGATTCATTCATTTAAGACACTATCACACAAGATTTTAGGCCATTGAATTTACATAGAAGGAGAAAATATTTGGTACACTAAATATTTACAAAAATCCAATAAGGGGCAAATTTTGCACCAAATTTATATAAATCTATGGTATAAAAGCATATTGAATTTATATATCCCAATAAAAATTTGGCACAAAGCGAAACTTTTTCTTTTCCAATTTTACGCGTTTCTACCAGATACTTACTTATAACTATTAAGAGCGTAAGCGAATTAGAAAAACCAATTAAACAAATAACCTAAAGTCTAAACCAAACCAAATCGGAATAAAAAACCAGAATTTTCTGGTTCGGTTCAAAAATTGAACCAGATTGATGAAAACCAAAGTGATTTGATTTGGTTCTCAATTTTAATTTTTAAGAACTTTTGAACCGAACTGATTACTCATGTTAATCACTTAATCTTTTATTAGGTCTATTATTAAGCTCAAATTTTGTACCAGCCCTACCTTTCTCCATCTTTATTTACACTTTATTCCTGCCAACAACTAAACTCTAAAACTTGTTTTCACTAAATTATTGCTCACGCCAGCTGCCGCCATTGTTAGTCTCACCACCACCGTCGTTTTGTTCCTTCCACTCGCCTTCTTCATATTTCACACTCTCTTAGTTAGTTTTTCTCCTTTTTTTTATATTATTTTGCTTCTTCTTCTTATAAGAAATTATTTCTTGCCTTGTTACAAAATAATTTTAATGTTTGTTTGAGGCATGAATCATGTTAATTTCTGTGTATTATAACGTTTTGTTGTTATTGTTGTGTTTTATTTATTACTACTTTGTTTGAATTAAGTACAAATTATGAGTTATGTGAAAAGTAGAGCATGGAATAGATAAAATAGATTATACATAATGTATTATTAAAAAAAACAATAGTTAAAAATACACAAAAAAATATGATAGTGAAAAATATGCAAATGAATAAAATGTCAAAAAAATATTGTAAATTGATCAACTGAACAAATTCAAACTGAACCAAATTAGTGAATTTGATTTAATTTTATTTTTGAAAAACATTAAAAACGTAATATGGAGATATTATCAGATCAAATATTTTTTACTAAAAATTGGTCCAATCAAATATTTGGTTTTAAACTTATTTTCAAGAGTAATTTTTTTAATAAAAATTATAGCAATTCAAATATGTAAATTATGAATGAGACATAATTAGTAGCATTTTAAAATCATGTAAAGGGTGTATGATTAATTTAAGTGGTGCCATGTTGAATTCTAGAGTATAAGGTATGTAAACCCAAGATGTCATAAATTTATATAGCCCAAGAATAAAGTGCAAGTATAATATTATTTTTATTTATTTATTTGAAAATTAGTATTATATGATAAAATAAAATCGAGAAAAAGTTCCACAATCTTATCATTTTCAGCAACACATCAATGGCTATCTCAACCTCCTTCTCCAACTTCTTCTCTTTCCTCTCCCCCCAAACAAAGCCACAACCTCTCCTTTCTCACTTTCCATCTCACCACAACAACCAGCGCAACAAGATAATCCCCCTTGTTCTCAGCCGCAATGAAACCTCTTCTTCAGTTACATCTTCACCACCAGAGGACATGTCTTCCGATTTCACCTCATCTCTCTCTACTTCCAGCTCCATGCTCTTAAATTCCAACTACAATGTTCAAGTTGTTGTTGAAGACGATGAGCCGGGAGAGAGATTGCTTACTAGGTTCCGTAGAGAGGTTATGAGGGCTGGTATTATTCAGGAGTGTAAGAGAAGAAAGTTTTTTGAGAATACTCAGGATGAGAAGAAACGGAGAGTTCGTGATGCTGCTAGGCGTAGGCGTAGGTACAGGTTTCCTAGGTATATGTTTTCTAAATTTCATGTTTTTTTTAATGATATTCTGAATTGGGGGTGTATGGTAAGCAATTTAGTGAATTGTTTATTCAACACAAATATGTTGAAAATGCTTTGTTTATGAATGTGTTTTTCTGGTTAGATATAGAGCAAGAACTATATAGGTTGTGTCAATGGACCAAATATAGAGTATATATCATCGGGCACCAGCACCAGGGTGTGTTCCTCCTTTGACAGAGATAATTTGATACCTGAAAATCTTGCATCTTTTTCAGGCGTCCGATGACAGGGAAACCTCCAGGAGAACGGTACAACAACTACAGGCAGGACGATCCAAAACCTGTGAAGGAAGAGGATGGTGATAACTGGGATATACCTGAAGAGGACGTGCTACAATTTTGACTATACAATTTCTTGCGTTCCGTATGATTCTTCACTTTTTACTCTGAGAGGCTTTGTCTGCATGTAGGCTCTTTTATGTCTACTATTGTATTGTTTTATATACATTTCATATGATCATGATATTTATATTTATACAATATGTTCATTTGTGCATCAAAACTTCCATCTGCCATTGATTTTTCTCTCAAATCTTACACCAGTATTTTTTTTATTCTTGCATCAATTTAAATTTTCTATAATGTTGAATTTATCAGTCATGTTAGTGGTATGAATTAAGGATAAGAAAAGTGTCAACAGAAAATGAATTTTCATCCGACAATGAAATATTCTTAGAGTTGAGTTGAGGATTCCCTATAGGAGAGAGGATATCTGTTAGAGAGGACCAGTTTCTATCAGTATCATGTTCATATCATCCGCAATCTCATATTCTTGGAGTTGAGTTGAGGATTCCCTATAGGAGAGAGGATATCTGTTAGAGAGGACCAGTTTCTATCAGTATCATGTTCATGTCATCCGCAATCTCATATTTTTAGAGTTGAGTTGAGGATTCCCTATAGGAGAGAGGATATCTGTTAGAGAGGACCAGTTTCTATCAGTATCATGTTCATATCATCCGCAATCTCATATTCTTGGAGTTGAGTTGAGGATTCCCTATAGGAGAGAGGATATCTGTTAGAGAGGACCAGTTTCTATCAGTATCATGTTCATATCATCCGCAATCTCATATGTGATGGACATTATTAGGAAAACAATCTGTTTTAACTTCTTCTTTTACTTGATTTTTGGAGTATTTCTCCTAAGGCGGACTGTTGTTTATTGCTGGAATGTTCAACTTCTCTGCCGCTTTTTAGTTACATTCTATGGCCTTTTTCAGAATAGTCATTCTAGAATAGAGGCGTGGAGCGGCCAACCCCAAAAGTGAGATAGCGGGATAGTGTATAGCAGGATGACCGCTCTATTGATCATTTTTTGGACAAATTACAGATAATAATTATAAACATATATTTAATGTCAAATTAAACAAGTAATTGAACTCGTAAAATATTCATAAATCAAAGCACACATGACTCTTGAAGTGCATAAATGTCTATGAAGGAAGGATAAGGTTGAGTCTCAACTCAAATTTGATTGAAAAATCCAAAATTATCCTTAAAACATTGTAAATTTAAGGGGTAATTTCAGTTTTTTAGGGGGAAAAGGATAGCGGGCCATAAACCGCTCCAGGTGGGGAACCTCTCTGCTCCGTTATCCAGCTATTTACCACATAACGACTGCTACAGTGTTCTGCTCCATTAAGGCTCTTCCCGTAGCGGTCGGTCTCTGCGATAGTAGAATAGCGCCAGTATTGGCCGCTATTGACTACTCTGGTCTTTATCATGTTTGACTTTTTCAACATTCTGAGCTGAAGATGCACTGGTTTATCATACTATCATTTGATACTAATTAATGCTAATTGTTGGAAACTTTAAGTTTCTTCTCCTTTGTTGTTACTAAAATCCTTAACATGATTGGAATTTGAAACCAAACTGAACAGATACAAGTGATAGACCGATTGTTCATGCTAGGATTGAGTGTATTGTTATTAGCATACAGATATCTTATCTGTGACCGAAAAGCTCTGGTCATGAAAAAGCAGGAAGATGGTTTGAGACATTTAGTAAAGGAAATACTATACTTTTTACTTGGATAAGAATTAGGAAGCAAATTGTTTTGTTCATGGTTTGACCTATTTGCTTAAGTATAATTGATTTGTATCTGTGTTTAGGGAGGCAAATTTGAAAGGAGTAGCCTCATCAGTTTTTTCTGAGAAAGCCTAAGTCTAGAATCTGGAGAGTAGACGGATTAAGTGAGAGATTCATTACTTCTAAATGCAAAGAATAATGTTCCATGCTAAAAAATGGTATAAAAAATAGTATCCCAAGTACCAAAGACGATGTATAGAAAATTTCCAAGACATGGTGGAGATTTAAGTTAAACTGAAAGAGAAAACTTCCAGTTCAGCTAAACTTCCAGCTTAATAGGGAGGGAGAATCTGCAGTGTTTTTCTTTAAATATGAATTCTTTGTGAAAACTTGCGAGCTGTATGTTCTGTGCACTTCTGTGGCCACCTCAAAGCAATTTTTTCCGTTGCATTGTCCTTTGAAACACGGTTTCTGAAGCGAATCCAATCATCTAGAACAATCCTCTGGTCATGAACTTTGCTTTTGAGATCATCACAGCAGTTAGCATGAATGGTATATGCTTCTTCCAACATATCATTATATGTCTGACAAAATCCACCAAAATGGTTTGTATCTGTTCTATGAACACGAAAGCCGTAGATGTCAACTAGGTCGTCATATAGCTCCAATGTCGCACACATGGATTCTTCAAGGTTTGAGTTTGGATACAAAACATTGGTCAGTTTCCAGTGCTTTAAGAATCCCAGGGTCACGTCATTTGCTTTCATGAAGAAGATCCCGCCTTCTTGTACGGAATGCACTCTTTCTCCATCACTTACGAAATTGCACGAAATGCTAAGTTCGAACTGCGGATAGAAGTTCACCAATGGACTTTTAAGCCACAGTACATCTGTTTCCTGCAGCAAAACATAAGTCACATGCAGTTCAAGTTGATGAACAAAACCGTTATTTTGGTCCTTAAATGTGTATCGTACCGTGAAAATTATGTTATAGCCCAATTCAATGACTTGCATCAAAACATGATTTCTTCTCCAATTGAATAACACACTGTGATCTGGCGTTGTGACGGACGGTCTTTTGGTGGAAAAATAAGGTTGAAAAGTGGAGGGATGAATGCAATATGGATGCAATAATCTGCAGTACTGAAAAGCTTGTAGGTCCATAGTTATGATAACTAAGTGATTCAAGAATCTTTGAGTCCCTTGGCCATATTTGAAGCTTTGTAGAAAAACTTCAAGCATAGATCCTGGCCTTGCATGGGATTCATCTACCATGGTTAGGATAACTGTTCTGTCTTGCATTGTTGCTTTCTTCAGCACTTGAATCAGTTCTTGTTTTTCTGAATCATACTGATAGGAAATGAAAAAAAGTTAAATATATTTAATAATGACTTTTGAGTAATGACTTCTGAATCAAAGTTATTAATCTGGGACCAATATGCTTAGAATCTTGAAATGATAAAAGAAAAACCTATGGTTGGTTGAATATTATACATGCATGAAATGAAAGAGAATCAACAAAATTTAGCATAAAATTGATATAGGCTTAGAATAATTATTACCTTGGTTTGAGTTGTTACAACTGTTTCAAGATTGTGATACTGAAGGAAGAACAAGAGCAAGATGAAGAAAGCTGTGAGAGGAAGAACAGACACACATTTTCTCAATCCCAAAATTCTCATTCTTCGCATTGCAAATGATAATAATAACACTTTTGAATAATAATAATAATAATAATGATTCTTGTGTTTAAGTAGTATTGAAAGAGAGGTCAAAATGTTAGCAAAATAGTAGTCCTTTACATTAAATCTACAAGCCAATGAGATTTTTTAAAAGCAGAAATAGATTTTTTTTTAAATTTAAATTGAATAAAACGAAAAGATAAAATTATGGCTTTCTTTGACTTAATTTTAAATATATTTACATAAAAACATGAAAAGAAAAGCAGGTAGAATCAATAAGATAGGAAACAATGGAAACCGATTCTTTCATTTTAAGTAAACATCTTTAAATTAAATTAATTTGATTATGCAATTTGTCTGTCAAATACATAGTATTTTTGATCAAATTTAAAATTTGTTTGAAATATTAATATTTAAGTTAAAATCAAAATTTACTTTTTATGATATTCACATATACATTAAATAATCTTGTATTTAAAAGAACAAATAAATCTAAAATGAATTATTCTAAACCATAAGAATAAATAATTTTATGTCTATAAATAAAAAATAATGTCTATAAATAAATAAATTATTTTGAAAATATAAATTTTCCTAATTTAAAAAATAAAAGTGAATATTTATAGGTATTATAAAAATTTTAATTTTATTATTTTTTAAAATAAAGTTGAAATACAGAATCTATATGATCCAATTTTAATTTTAAATTAAAGCTTAAACTATTAATAAAATATATTTTTTGCAAAATTATATATTAAATAAAGAGAAAATGAGTGAGTCACTAACAAGTATAAATTTTTTTTATATTTTTATTGGATGACGGTATAAAATTTTTAGTGATTTTTTAATCCATTCCATAGAGATGAAAAACACTCCATTCAATTCTAAAAATGCTTTTGGAAAATCAAAAATACATTTCTAATACACACTCACACTTATATAATTCATTAGTTTTTGAAATTTACACTATTTTACTACAACTTTTATTTTGGAAATTTGCACCATTTTATGACAACTTTTATTTTGAAAATACATATATTTTCATAAATACATTTCTGATTTGAATAATATTTAAATCCACTCTTCATGTATTATTGCAGACAGAAGCTCTCTAAAATGTGAAATGGAAATTAAAATAAAGAGAATAATAAGAAAGAATGCAATTGAAAAGTTTTCTTGAAAATAAGAGGACGAAGGCGTTGACACCTGTTAGAAGAAGCGTTGAAACAAGAAAAGCTCCTTCAAAGGAAGAATCGTGTAACATCATATATGGATCTGTTCAACAAAACTGAGTTCATAGGTTCTACCTTGTTTTTCAGCGTGAAGATAAAGTTTGCATTCTATCTTGTAACATCATATACGGATCTGTTCAACACAACTGCTATTTTTGCAAGATTTGAATCTGATTCCAAAAGGAGATCGACGACATGAATATGACCATGAGTAGCAGTTGTGTGTTTAAGTGCTATGGAAACTGTATTTTCGGAAGTCTATTTTCGGAATAAAATTTATCGTAAAATAAAATATACTTTTAAAACAAATGAATTATATATGTGTATTGTGTCTCAAAAATGTATTTTCAATTTTTAAGTAATATTCATATATTTTTACATGGTGTGCTAGAAAAACATTAAACTACTAATATTTATGTATTAATAAATCAAAGTAAAAGCTTCAAGGCGAAAAGTTTCAGACATACCAATAGAGAACAATAAAGAGGTGCATGAGATTGCTAGGGTTTCTTCAGGGTTGGGAAAAAGGCAAATTTTATGTGCCAAAGGTTTAACTTGTAATTCATAATGTACTCTAAGATCCCTAAATAAAACCACTTGAGAGGCCTTTGATAAAAAAAATAAACAATTTTTTTAAAAATTGATTTGAGTTCCTTTCTTGAACTAAAAATATGAAGAATTGCGGAAGCTGAAGCGAATGAGAGCTTCCGATAGAACAGAGTATGCCTACAATATGGAGCGAATAAGAGCTTCCGATAAGGCAGAGTATGCCTACAATATTCAAGTCAGTCTTCGAATGATAAAAGATTATTTAAATTATATTTAAAATTTGTTATTTGAAATGATGCTATATATATATATATATATATATATATATATATATATATATATATATATATATATATATATATATATATATATATATATATATATATATATATATATATATATATATATATATATATATATATATATATATATATATAGCTGCAGTTATAACCACATTAAGGCTAACGGTTGCTATAGTTATATTTAGCACTTCAATGAATTGAACCAACTCGAAAATAGTTTGGAATTCGGTTCGACAATTAAATTATTGAATTAGATGAATCAAATGAGTTGAATATGAGTTGAGTTAAAAATTAAGTTTGTTAATTAAATGAGTTGAATTTAAACTATACATAGTTTGACTTATTATATTCATGAGTCAAATCAATTATATATGAGATGGATTATTGTTTTTAAGAGTAAGTTTAAAGATTTGCTTCAAATTTAACCTTATATTTTCTTTTAATCTAACAGTTTTAATTGATAATTTATATTTTCAAACGAACAAAATATTTCTAAAAATAATTATATAAATAAAATCAACATTGTATAAATTCCAATCCCATAACTTTTATTTTATTTCAATATTTTTTATTTTAAAAATATTAATTTAAAATTGTTGATATTTGTAAATACATAATTAAGAATATTTGTATGTAGAATAGTCTTACATCGATTATATCATGTAATTAGTTGTAATCTCTCTATGTATAATAAAGTCTTTGTAGTGTTTTCAAAACACACGGCTTAACCTAAATGTCTCTTAGTCTCTCATAATTCAGTATGGTATCTAGAGCCTACTAAGAGGTAATTTTCCGTCGTGCTTTACCTGGTTGACCCACTGTCTTGCGGTGATAAATTTTTATTTTTTTTGTAAATCGTGTCATCACTCTGGTTTGTCTCTCACTTTCCAAAATTCTCTGGTAACCACCGGACTGCTACCGCCATCCGCCACTACTAATTTTGGCGACCTTCTGGCAAACTAACCCTACCGGCAAAAACGCCTCCTTCGATCCGGCCAATCCTGACGATTTTTCCACCTTTGTGCTCACCACCGTACAATTTTTCCAAATCTGATACTCATGGCTACTCCTCAGAATTTTATGTCGAACTACGATGATTACCTCAAGTGGTATAAGAATTATTAAAACTTAGATTATACTGCTTCGGTTGCACACACTGATAATTCATTTGTTTACTCCTCTCAATCATCTTCTCTTGTATGTAGAATAGTCTCACATCGATTATATCATGTAATTAGTTGTAATCTCTCTATGTATAATAAAGTCTTTGTAGTGTTTTCAAAACACACGGCTTAACCTAAATGTCTCTTAGTCTCTCCTAATTCAGTATGGTATCTAGAGCCTACTAAGAGGTAATTTTCCGTCGTGCTTTACCCGGTTGACCCACTGTCTTGCGGTGATAAATTTTTATTTTTTTTGTAAATCGTGTCATCACTCTGGTTTGTCTCTCACTTTCCAAAATTCTCTGGTAACCACCGGACTGCTACCGCCATCCGCCACTACTAATTTTGGCGACCTTCCGGCAAACTAACCCTACCGGCAAAAACGCCTCCTTCGATCCGGCCAATCCTGACGATTTTTCCACCTCTGTGCTCACCACCGTAGAATTTTTCCAAATCTGATACTCATGGCTACTCCTCAGAATTTTATGTCAAACTACGATGATTACCTCAAGTGGTATAAGAATTATGAAAACTTAGATTATACTGCTTTGGTTGCACACACTGATAATTCATTTATTTACTCCTCTCAATCATCTTCTCTTGGACCTTGGATCCTTGATTCTGGTGCGTCTGATCATGTTACTGATAATAAAAATCTTTTCTCTTCCCTCTCTACCTCTGGTTTCTTACCTACTATAACTTCTGTCAATGGTTCTCAACCCGATCCAAAGGAATTGGTATAGTTCAAATTCTACCTTCTCTCTCTGTTACTTTTGTACTATGTGTACCTAATTATCCATTTAATTTACTTTCAGTCAGTCGTTTAACTCGTTCTCTTGATTGTATTGTCACCTTCACTAACAGTAATGTCACTTTGCAGGATCAGAGTTCGGGACAGACAATTGGCATCAGATGTGAGTCTCAAGGTCTTTATTACCTCTCAGTGTCATCTCAGACATGCTCAGTCAGAGATTCTCCACTCACAATCCATACTCAGTTAGGCCATCCTAGTCTTTCCCAAATTACAGAAGTTGGTGCCAAGTTTATAGAAAGTATTTAATTTATATTGTGAGTCGTGTCAGTTAGGGAAACACACTCATAATCAATTTTCCAATCGAGTCAGTAAACAAGCTTCGTCCCCTTTTGCTTTAGTTCACTCTGATGTTTAGGGTCCTTCACATACTATCTTTACTTTTCAGTCTAGTTATTTTGTCACCTTTATTGATGATTTTTCACGTTGCACGTGGTTATTTTTAATGAAAAATAGATCAGAAATATTTTCTATTTTTGAAAATTTTTATAAAGAAATAAATACTCAGTTTGGTGTGCCTATTCGTACCTTAAGAAGTGATAATTGTAAGAACAATATTTGGT